TMYYCACTATYTCYTCTYTTTACTCAAATTTTATTAATTTTATATTTCAATACACCTCACTATTTCAACAAAAAAACACTCTCTTTCTTCCTTTTACTCAAATTTTAATAATTTTATATTTTAAAAACCCCCTGATAACCCCCAATTACCCACCCATAATCATGCCCTGACTAATTTAAAAGATGAACAAAACATTTGGCAACAGTTTTCCACAAACCTACGACGAGTGGTTAGACAGTAGGCTAAAAACAAGAAACCAATTGATCCAACATGCAACAAATTTGTTCGCAATGAAAATCGAACACAAACTCATTATGCGGATCTACGCTTTTATTGTAGTATGAACTATTGTTTTCTATATATGTAAAAATGTGTGTAAACAATTTGAAAAATAGACATAGCAAGACTACTAAATTTTCTCATCCAATAGTCTAAAGACTAAGAAGTAATTTAAAAAAAAAACTTTAATTTTTTTTTTAAATATAGTTTTCGTAATTTTTGAACCAAAAATTATGAACTTAACTTAATTTTATTTATTGAAAAACATAAAGAAATAGAGAGGACATGGATAGCCTTTCAATAACTACAATATAAGGAATCCATTAAATGTGAAAAAGTCGTCGACTAGTTACGCATTCAGAAGGTAATAATTCTGTCAGTGATTCTGGAGAAAATATTGAAACAATAGGAGCCCTTTAAGCCACAAAACAGATGGTAAGTCACATATCACAAAATTTGTTTCTATTTGAATTAAAAAAAAAAGGTTGTTAGATAATTTTCAAGCTTTTCTGATCAGGACTATTTGTACTAATATGCTAGAAGAAGACCTATGGTGACAGTTCTAAGAAAGCAATTTCAAACTTTGGGATATGCCGACGGATTCCACTATTTTCATCATTGTCCCGATTTTTTTTTTCCAAATTGAAAACCGTTGTGAAAAGAAAGCTAAAATAAATATACTTGTTTGCCTTTTTAGTAGAATTTAGTTTAGAGATGTTCACAATCATCGGTTAGTGATTTGGGCTTCAGTGGTATTAATGAACTCTTT